CCCTTTTTTTTTAAATCTACTCAGAGCTTTCAATTTATCTATTGCCTCAAACTCCATCTCATCCTGTCCCTCTCTGCTTCTTAGCTCCAAGGACACATACTCTTATGGTTCTGGTTCAGTGGTAAGTAGGGTAGTGTTGTAGTAATCATTTGTCAAGGTTTAAGTAGAGCCTTCCTGCAATTCTTGAGGACAAGATGCAGAGAAAGACAGTAAAGAGCCCAGTGTGACAGATTCAGAATTTTTTGAAGACTTAGATTCAAGAAAGATTCAGTGTTGGCTCATTGTCAACTTGGAAGGTGGTTTCTCCTAAGTTTCTGCCTTCTGTATGTTCCCCACAGTGCAAAACCAACTTTTATTTACTATCTATATGTTTTATATTCACTTATATATGTATATTTATTTTCACCCAATAAATTTGTTTCCTCATGGACAGAAATTATATTCTTTTAGCCTTGATATACCCAGATCCTACACTGGCCCTTAATTAAAGTAGTGGTCTAATAAATTATTGTGGAATTCCACTGATTTGTCAGTGGCCTGCACAAACACTTATTGTCATCCTTATCAACTTCCCAGATAGAAAAAATCCAGGCAGGACAACTAACACACCAAGCAATCTATTCAAGATTCAAAAATATCTCTGCAGGCCAGAATTTCCAATTAATCTAAAGGATGAAATTTTGAAAGGAAACATGCTTGTTACTTGTGTTACTTGCAGTTCAATATGTTGCCTCCCCAAAATTGAAGCTCATGTTCTGAACTCCCACAGACCAGATTCAGGGGTGTGTGTGTGTGTGTGTGTGTGTGCGTGTGCGTGTGCGTGTGCGTGTGCGCATGCACGTGCAAGCGTGTGTGTGTGTGTGCATGCCTTAAATAACTAAAATGATAAATTTTGCCCCCAAAACTCATAAGAAAAATTCACACCATTCAATTGCAAATTAAAAAAAAATAATCTACATGTAATTTTGAAAAATCTAAATACAAATTTCTAAAACTTCAATTATTACAATTACTTTGTGTAAGACATTATAGAAACATTAAAAGAAGGTACTCCTTTCTGAACTCCTAGGGACCTGCATCTTCATCTACATCCCTACCATTTTTGCTCTGCTGTGCCTTCTACTGCTAATGTTGCCCCAACCTAATACACACACACACCACTCACACAGACACACATGCACACATGTGAATGAATGGACACACACACACAGAATCTTCTTTCAATCTTGTAATCAGATCATTACCTCTATTATCTCTGAAAAAGCAATGGATAGCTAAATGGTTTCACTCTTTATATGTAGGAGTTCCCCAAACAAACCATTCTTCCCCAGCCCCCACAGCCCTGAAAATGTCATCTCCCCCTACAATTACACTTAAATAGAACTTTGAGGCACTTTGCACATACCATCTCATTTGATCCTAACAAAATCTCTGTGAGACAGGAGTTATTATTATCTTATTTTAGACAAGAAGAACCTGAGGCTGGGGGAGGTTAAGTGACTTGGCCGGAGTCACACAGCTAGTTAATGATGATGGAAGCAATCAAACTTGGGTCTCGTTAACTTCAATTCCAGATCTCTCTTGTCAACATGACTGAGCTGCTTATTGAGTCATAAAATTGTTGTAGTATGGACTGTCTTGCTTTTGTATTTGTTTTCCTATGGCTAAGCAGATTGCTTGGCATGTAATAATATCTAATCAATTTTTTTCATTCATTCATCTTCCATGAAGCAAACATGTTAAGGGCTGGGGAATCAAAGACAAAAGTCATAGATCCTGCCCTTCACTGGGGACTATTACCAATAGTCAACATTAAAAAAATAAGTTGGCTTCATTAGATTAATGAAGAAGGATATTAATATTGTTAAATATACCTTAATATCCTTATCATTTCACATTCCATTTAAAATTTATTGTGGCAGTGGCATAATGCTGCATTGTTTTCATGCTTTGGAATCTTGTTTATGATGGAGTGTGAGGATATAGGCAAATGAGCCAAAAGGTACAAGTTTGCTATGTCCCAATAGGGCCCCAGGTATCTGGAAGCAGTGAACTGTGAACACGAGCCAGGTATCAAACAGCCAGGGAGATTCTTGAGAGGGATAGAGGAAGGAATCACAGACTCTTAGAGTCAGAGGGCTCCAGACATCATCAAATCTATTCCATACCTGAAAAGGTATATTCTTTATGACACACCCAATAAGTGGACACACCCTATTGAAGACCTCCAGTGAAGAATTATTCAGTGTGAAGCACCAATTTGGAATTGCTCCATTTGTTAGGAAAAAATTTCCTTTTCTCAACTCAAAATTTCTCTGTGTTCTCCCTTCAAGGGCCCAGCAGAATGTGTCTAATACCTATTCTACAACACACATTATCAAATACTTGACCTCCACACACTTAAATACAACTTCTCCATAATAAATATGATAATTTCCTTAATTGTTCTGAGTATGGAATAATATCCAGTAAATCCCCTCTGTGCATCTTTCAAGTAGCAATGTGCTTCCTAAAATGTGGCAACCAGGATGGAAGAAAATATTGAAATGTTCCCTGAAAGGGGGCAGCTAGGTACTACAGTAGATAAAACATTGGGCTTGAAGACAGGAAGATTTGATTTCAAATCCAGCCTCAGGCATTTACTAGCCATGTAAATTGGCAATTCACTCAAACTCTATTTGCCTCCTCATCTGTAAAATGGGGACACACTGGAGAAGAAAGTGGTAAACCACTTTAGCACCTTTTCCAAGAAAATTTCATGAACAATGTCCATGGGGTGACACCGACTTGGACACAGTTGAACGAATGAACAACAAAAAACTCTGGAAAGGGCAGAGGATAGCAGTACCATCACCCCCTCATTTGGGAAAAATGGCTCCTCAATGTGGTTATATATGGCATTAGTATTTTTGCTTCCAAGCATACTGTTGACTGATACTCTACTAGTAGCCTGCTAATACCTACAGTACTTTTGCGTATGAACCATTCCTTCTTCACAGTAATCTGGTACCAGTTGACTTGAGCCCCCTAAATTACAATTTACAAATGGAGAGTGGGTAGTGTCCAAGGGCAAGAAGAACCACCAAAGACCTACTCATATTTGAGTGTCAGTTACCACATGTGTGAAATCTACAATTGTTTTCAACTTGAAGTCCAGGCATAAGCCATTTCAAAGTCTCTCACTACTCACCAAGACTTTTGGGCTCACATGTTTAATCTTGGGAAATTACCTTCAAAGAGGAATATTCTCATTCTCTCTCTCTCCCTCTCTCTCTCTCTCTCTCTCTCTCTCTCTCTCTCTCTCTCTCTCTCTCTCTCTCTCTCTCTCTCTCTCTCTCTCTCTCTTTCTCATTAGCTTATTACCCCTGAATAGAGTTGCTCCTGAAAAATCAACTTAGGTGCTAATAGTATAGTATGTTCCTAAGTTTCTCCCAATGTGGCCAAGATGGGTCTCCAGCACTTATAAAATAATTCAAGTTACCAAAAGCTGTCCAGACTTAATTTTATCCCACAGACAAATCAAAAGATGTTTATAAAACCTCACAGGAGCCTCTTTTTGGACACAGAAACATATAAAACACCAAAAGAACCTATTAGCTGGAATGGAATTCATATTGAAGTAGGCATCAGGATATTAAACTGACATTGCAATGAAATAAGTCTTTCCCACAGACTCAAAGTTCTTTCCAGGCTGTTAGGACCATTCTGTGGTTTATATTCCTTCCTAAAGTTAGTGATACTACAGTGGTGTTCTGAAGCCCGCTCCAAATGCCTTATAAAGAGATAATTACATTTTGAGTTTGAGTATCTGGACTGTAGAAATGAGCAAATGCTACAAATCAGGACTTACTTTATTGTTTTTATTGTTTTCAGAAAGTAATGAAGAAAATAAAAACATAGATTACATTTCTTTTTTATTATTTTTTTTAATATTTTTAAATTTTTTTTTTTTGGTGAGGCAATGGGGTTAAGTGACTTGCCCAAGGTCACACAGCTAGTACTTGTCAAGGGTTTGGTCTGAAGCTGGATTTGAACTCAGGTCCTCCTGACTTCAGGGCTGGTGCTCTATCCACTGCACCACCTAGCTGCCCCCATATATTACATTTCAAAGTATACCAGGTATACAATTTTTTTTCCTGAAGGGCTTGTTCTTAAGCATTTACCAGCTTGTCTCCCATTTAGGTGCCACCAAATAAGCAATGCCACTAACATTAAAGCTATATCTTCCAAGCAGTTCAGTGGGTTTGCTCTTGAAGTACTAAACTATTAAAAAATATAGCTGATCTTCCCCTTTCTAGGAAAATAGCTGCAATTGTGGTATTGCGCTTAGATTGTCTGTGTGTGTGCATATGTGTGTGTGTGTGTGTGTGTGTGTGTGTGTGTGTGTGTGTGTGAGGGCATCTAGATGGTGCAGTGGATAGAGCATTGGGCTTGGAATCAAGAGGGTTCTTCTTCACGAGTTCAAATAGAGCCTCAGTCGCTTGCTAGCTGCGTGTCCCTGGGCAAGTCTCTTAACCTTGTTTGCATCACTTTCTCCTCTGTGCAATGAGCTGGTGAAGGAAATAGGAAACCATTCCAGTATCTTTGCCAAGGAAACCCCAAATGAGGTCATGAAGAGTCAGGCACAAGTGAACAACAACAAGACAACACACACACACACACACACACACACACACACACACACACACACACACACACATTATTCTGTCCAAATAATAGTCTTATGAAAATAGGGAATACTATTACCATTAAACATGAGGAAATGGAGGTTGGGACTTGATTAGGGCTATACAATGTGAAAGTGTCTAAGACAATAAAAATTCAGGACTCTTCTCACACCAAGTACATGACATTTCTACTACAAAATGTTTCCTTTGAAAAAATCTGGATTATACTTCTGCATACATAAGAAAAATAGCCTGACTTAGGGACTGGATTCCAGAACGTGAAAAGTGCAGATTGGATTTTCTCTCTAAGAAAAAAAGATGATCTAACTGAAGTCATTGTCCCCTCATAGCTTTTCTGAAAGCATTCTTGACATCTTTGTTCCTAAGACTATAGACCAGAGGGTTCAACATGGGGATGACCATGGTGTAGAACACTGACACTATTTTGTCTGTGTCCATGGAATGGCTTGAGCTGGGTTGGAAGTACATGAAGATGATTGTCCCATAAAATATGGACACTACTGTGAGATGGGAAGCACAAGTGGAGAAGGCTTTCTTGCGGCCTTCAGCAGAACAGATCTTCAGAATGGTGATGAAGATTAAAAAGTAAGAAGCAAAGATGACAAGAAATGGGAAAAAGACAGTGAATGATGCAAAGATAAATAATACTGACTCACTGATGTGAATATCCGAGCAGGAGAGAACTAAGAGAGAGGGAACCTCACAGAAAAAGTGATGGATCACATTGGACTTACAGAAGGAAAGGCTAAATGTATTTCCTATGATTATGGAGGAGATCAGAAAGCCACTAATGTGAGCACCACTGGCTAGAAATGTACACACTCTTGAAGTCATGGTAGTGGTGTAATACAGGGGCTTACAGATAGCTGCATGGCGATCATAGGCCATGGAGGCTAAGAGGAAATTTTCAGCACCAGCAAAGGCCCCAAAGAAGAATAACTGTGTGGCACATCCATTGTAGGAGATGATCTTGTTCCCTGTGAGGAGCCCAGCCATCACCTTGGGGGTAACAGATGTAGAGTAGCCAAAATCTACCAGGGAGAGGTTACTAAGAAAAAAGTACATGGGGGTGTGGAGGCAGGATTCGCTGGAGATCAGAGCTACTATCCCCAGGTTCCCTACCAGGGTGATGAGGTAGACGAGGGTGAACATTATGAAGAGAGGGACCTGAAGCTCTGGGGCATCTGTTAATCCTGTGAGGATGAACTCATTCACCTCAGATCTGTTCTCCATGGATGTCATTTGAGAGTGTTGTCATTCACCTGCAACAAGAGAGGAACCACCAGAAAAATGAATTCTGCACGTTGAATGACTCCAAGACATAAAACATGATCAGGGACCTATCTTCTGTGAGGGCTAGAAATCAGCAATTAAGGGAAAATAACATCTAGGTAGTTGTCATAGCAGTTATTCTAGGTCCTCAAAATCCACTCATTCATTTTCTCTGAGAGAGAGAGAGAGAAAGAGAATCACTCATGTGTAATTTCTCACTTTGTTTAATCTACTTTAAATTTAACACTACCCAAAACGACATTTCCCACTTCAGGACAGGGAAGTGCCTTATTCTCTGGCAAAAATCAGCATAAGTGGGGGGATTACTGTTGGCCACATTTGGAGAACTAGGTCTTTGCTTATGAATATGCTTCACTCTAATAAGAAGAGAGAAAAGTGAAATAAAAGAATAGAGGGAGAAATCAAAGAAGAGAAAAGTTGAAAAACTGTGACAAGGGAGAAGAGGATCAAAGAAACTTGGCCAAGAGTTCACTGGAATCCTGATTAGTCCTGGAATCATTGTAGCTTTAAGGTTGAAGCAATGGATTGAAGTCACTGTTTCTGAGTGAACAGCTGCCGATGTACACCAATTGCTTACTTGTAGGAATCATCTGTGCAAAAGATCACTGGTGGATCACTTACAATAAATGTATGACTTCTAAATTCAATTCCATCACATGGCCTGTCTCTTTTTCAATTCTCCACCATTTCCACTGTGGAAATAGAAGGTGGCCACAGACAGGGATATATGGCCTTTCATTCACTCTACAGTTTTTTGAAATCACTAATTTTTGGTTAGTCTGTTTTGCAATTGAGCTAAAATCTCACCTACAGGAAGCCTTTCTTGATCCATTGATCTCAATATTGGCGCCTTCCCTCTTTTCATTCTCTGTAACATGTCCTGTCTATCCTGTCTATATGTGCTATTTGTAAACTAATATTTGCACATTACTTGAGTGGTGTTTATGCAATCCTTCATGGCAGTGACTGTATTTTACCTTTCTTTACATTTTCAGTGCTTAGCATGGTAGACCCTAAATAAATGTCTGTTGACTCACTGATTGGCCAGTGGTAACCTTCAATGTCTGAACTAAGTTAAGTTGGCCTTTAGGCATCAGAGAACTATGGAGGCCGTTCCCAGGCACCACTTTCAGCCTCTATATCTTGGAAGGACCTGTCACAATTGTGTATCACTCAGCCTTAGAGTACTTCATTTCATCTCTCCCACCTTGAGTTACTACAAGTTTTCATAGAAGTTATAAACAGGCTGCCACGTGCTATGCATAATGATTTGTATATATGCATATATACACTACATGTGCATATATATTTACTTTTTCTGTTATATATGTATGTATATGTATGTGTGTATATATATGTATGCATGTATATATGTGTTATTATGTATATATGTATATATGTATGTATATTTATGTATGTATATATATGTGTGTGTATATATATACATATATACACATATATACACACACACACATATATATATACACATACACACACACACACACACACACACACACACACACACACACACACACACACACATATATATATAAAACAGCACAGCATCCAGGTGTACAGAGGCTCCTCTCTGGTCTACATTTGGGGCAACATGTCGAGTCAGAATTGGTGGAAGGAACTGAGGGGGTTTGGTGTAGAAAAGATAAAAGACGGGTGTCAGGGCAGGGGTTGGGATTAGGTATCTTCAGGTATCTGCAAGACTGACATATGGAGGAAGAATTTAGTTTGTTTTATTCATGCCCAAAAGGAATACCCAGGAGGAAAGGTTAGAAGTTAAGAAGAAAAAAAACCTTAGGTTTCTTTTAAAGAAAAGATTCTAAAAATGTTGCTATTCAGAAGTGGAAGAGGCTGTGTTAATATGTACTGGATTTCCCCTCACTTAAAGTCTTGAGGGAATGGCTGGTTGACCTCTTGTTCAACATGTTGCAGACAGAGACACACACATTATATATATATATATATATATATGAAGGTCTTTGTATGTGTATGTATGTATATGTATATGTGTGTGTATATATGTATGTGTGTACACACACATGCATAATGTAGGAGTGGAGAAAAAGACAGAAAAAGCTTATTTCTCCTTTTATGGAAACATTTGACTACTATCTCTTGCTACTGTAACTGTGACCATGGACACGTCCTCTCACCTCAGAGCCTAACTTCACCCCTAAGTCAAAAAAGGATAAAAGTAATGACATCTACATCATAGCGTGTTCTGAGTATGGAAGGAGATGATTCTGTAAAATGCTTTGAAAAGCTTAAAGCTCTACAAAAGAGTTATCCACTGGTATTTTAACTAACACTATGGCTATTATTTTATTACCTTTCCCAAATCCCTTAAGATCTTTTATTCTGAAGTTATCATGAACCTCAGTTTGTTCATTGATAAAGAAAAGATGTCATACTAGATGATCTCTGAGATCCTTTCAACCCCTGAATCAATGATCTTGTGAAACTTTTAAGCTAAATTAATTTAAAGATATCCATTAGTCTTCATAACACAACAGTGAAAGAACTTTTATACTAATGTGGTTAATGTGAGACTGACAGGTAAGGACAGAAAAAATGAATAAAACTTTATCCCATAGACTTTTAGAGGAGTAGAACAATATCTATTTTTACAACTAATTACAATTAAAGATTTTCCTTAAATGTTATAGGAAAAATATAAAATAGAATACACACAACCCACTTAGAGTCAAGATTTATAATAATGTTTATCTCATACATGGCATTTGGGCCATTTTTGTAATCTATACTATTGAATCAAATATGTATATACATAGTCTAAGACAATCCTTTTCATCTGCATACTCAAGGTTGGGTGCTCTTGAGTTCCTATGTCTAAGGACGGTTCTTTTTGGTTCCCCGGGCTGACAAGGTAATTTGTTTCCTACTCCAAAAGTCCCAGGTGTTAGTTAATAATGCTCTCTTGGAAAGATAATTGATTAGAAGTCTAAAGAGTGGACTCTAATATTACTTGGATATTCACTAATTTCATCCGGGATTTCATGGAAGTTAATCAATGCTTCTGCCCCTCTGCTCATTTGGTAAATAAGAATATTTCTTTGGGTATGAAGGTCACACAGTGATTGTGAGAAAATGTTTGCCAAGAATCAAATACTATAGACATGAGATTTACCATGAACAGTGAAGGTTGCTGGACTTTTACATGACAATGGATGAGCAGGTGCTCTGAGAAACACAAAGTATAGAGAAAAGAGGATAGAGGTGCTACTACAATATGAAGTACTAGTGTGGCAGTGTGGGCTAGTAAAGATAGCTTTCATTTTTGAGTCAAGAAGATGTGGATTTAAATCGCACTCAGGCCCTTGTTAATTGGATAAGTATGGACAAATCATTTAAGTCAATCAGCCCCTGGTTACTTGTCTGTAAAAGGGGGAAGGACATTCAATAATGGTGTTTATCTCAAAGAGTTGTTGGGAGATTCTAATGAGAAAATCAATGCAAAGCTCTTTCCAAATGTTATATAATGTGAGCTATTACCATTCTGGGGAAGGATTCTATTCTACCTACATTTTCTTATGAAACTCCTCCCTCAAGGATTTAATGAATGCCTTGTGCACAGCATACCGTTAATCACATCATTTAATTGTTTGGACTACACAACCACTTGTCCCTCAAATGGTCTCTTCAGTTACTGAAGGATGATGAGCTTCAAAAGGTGCAAGTAGTGGATAATAACTGGTGTTTATAGAGCCCTTGAATGTTTGAGCACAATTTCCAAGTACAATCTCATTTAAGCCCTAAGACAGCCCTATGAAATAAGTACCACAAGTGTAGTTTTACACAATTTATGGATAAAGAAATGCAAGTCAAGTGACTTACCCATGGAGAAAGTGAGTCATTGTGTGAGACATAGAAGGTTTTTATGCAGGTCTTTCTGCCATCATGTCCAGCAATGTTTCCACTACAGCATTTTGGTGTCTATGCTGCCCTGCAGTCTTGGGATTGGATATCCTAAAAACTAGCTGGCTTGATATGGAGAAAGGTGGCCAAGACTCTGAAAAGGAAGTTAGCCAAGAACTTTATATTCAAGGTTTAGCTTTGAAGTCCCAAGCCTAGCAAACATATGATTGTATTGGAGAAACTCTTCACTAGTCACTGGGGTAAAGAATTCAAAGTTCCTAGTGGCAGACAGGTCATTCCTGGCCATTGCTGTGGCATGGATGGCAGTAGAGTTAGTAGTGCCCACTCCTACCCTCCATTCAACTCAGCCTCAGGAAACCCAAAAGAAATTAGATGAGTGAGTGAATGAATCAGGGAAATTGACCTACTAACTCATTCCCAAGCAGTGAGCCCTATAGTAGAGTGTTTCAGTGTCAGTAGCTGAAGTCAGGGATGAGGCAGGGACTTTATGCAGTCCTGGGAGCCCTGCAGCTCTTAGGAGATGGTGCCACCTTGGAGATACCTGGTAGCACTGCTGCCAATTCATGAGCAAAACAAACCATTAAATTCTGTTATGACCATGAGGGAAAACATTTTCTCATTCTCAACACTTTGTCATTCCTAGCTTGTTGTTAGCAAAGTGAGGTAGAAAGGGACCTGGATAAGGCCTTCTATCATCTCTTAGCTAGGTGACTTTGGCCAAGTCACTGAATATCTCCAAGCCTCAATTTATTCTTCTTTGAAGTGGGTGTAATAATCTCAGGCCCAAATATGATCAATAGGTTTTGGTGAAGATCAAATCTGATACTGAACATGAAAGACATGTGAGTTATGAAAAAAAAATTCCAAAAAATAAAGTAGTGAAGAAAATCACAGAACTTGGTGTTAGAAGATCTGGGATGCAACTGGAGGTCACTGTGAAACATTAGGCAAGTCACTGATCCCAGATGAACATTGATTTCTTCATTTGTAACATGCAAATAAGCATATTTGCATGATCTAATTCTCCTGACCATTAT